TCGTGTTCATTGGGAATATGACCGACGTGGATATAAAAGGAGACAGTTTCCGGTGTAGAGTAGGGGTTGTGGAAGCAGAATTTGTACATCCCACTTTTCGGTGCCTTGAACTCGAACTTATCTCCAGATGTTCCTTTTAAACTGTGTACGACATTCCCTGCAGGGGATGAGACCTGTATGGAAAAAGCAAAAAACTCAAAATTACATTAATGAAAACGATAGCCGACTTGATCATAAACCCACGCCCAGTTGATGAAACATGATTCAGCAATCTCAACACGATTCGTAAAGTCAAGCTATGACTAAAAGAGAGATCCAAATTCCCCAATCCTAAACATGACAAAAGAGTCATGAGGGACAGAGCTTTTATTCAGACCCATCATCAGAATTCGATGAAGAATTGTGACAAACCACCATTCATTTCGATTAGAACAGGCAAATCTAATGCATGAGACATACACAAGCCACAACTTGGAATGTGTTTGTATACAAACTACAATGCCATAATCATGGATGTCAAACCCTAAACAGATTTACACTTGATCACGTGAAACAAATACTTTAGTCTCTCCGTCACTTCTCAGATAATTCTCTGGTCCAAAACCAGAGATTATCCGTAATTCCCAGAAAAACCAAACAGGTTGTTCATTTACGAAGAGAGTACCTAAATCATAAACAATAATACACAAGATCTACCCTGATTCGCAGAAAACCCTAATTCATCAAGACCCATCTTAGATCACCAAAAGGGTCAGAATCTTGGAAAACACAAAGAGACCAAATTGATCCTTTTTTTTTACAAAAGAACTCAAATTGTTCCAAAATTTACCAGGAATTAAGATGAAATCAACTTTACCCATCGGAATTATCAGATCAAACATCGAGGAAAGATCAAGTAATTGACTTACCTCGAAATCAAGACCAGGGTGATCCGAACCCCAGAAGATATCATGGTCGACGACGACGAAATTTCCCGACACAGTGTCGCCTTCGTAGAGAACGTACTCATAGACGCATTCTACGTTGTTCACCGTCACGGAGAGGGACGAAATTCTTCCGACCAAACTCAGCAGTAACAGACCGACCAACAAACTCTTCGGATCTCTGGCTTGTCCTGTCTCCATCTTCGTCGTCTTCGCCCGAAATTCTCCGTTTGTTTCTCGAGAAAATTCGCCAAAAGCAATACAGTGTATTATAACGCGCTCTCACAAACCCGAGTTTAGTACATGAGACAGACATCAAACCGGATCTTCGTAGATCGGTTTATTTTGGTTTAATAAAAATGTCTGTACAAATGTTTTTCTTATTAATTAATTAATTAATAAACAAAACAAAAGAACAAATTCCCGAAATCTCAATTGAATTGAATCTACCAAATTCATAACACATAAAACATATTATTGTTGATTCCGATGATCACTTCGGGTAATGGAAACTTTAGTCTCTAAAATGATATTATCCAATAGAAATATACAGAGAATATTCTAAAAATATATTATTATGGTAAATCTTTTAGAATAT